ATTAGAAATATTTAAAAATGAAAAATAAATGTTATATTAAATATTAAATTAAAATAATTGCAGAAAAGTTATTAAATTTATAGATAAAATATATTTATTAATCAAAATTATATTAATTATACAAATTATTTTTTAATTATATTTATATATGATATAGCTCATAAAAATAGACAAAACATACATTTCAACATAAACTCATCACCCTCCAATTTCAAAATTATTAAAAGTATTATTAAATTTATAACAATAAAAATAGTATTTCTTTATGGTAAAAAAATGTTGAGATATGTAAAAACAAAAAGAAGAAGATTCCTTCAGCATTATTCTAATGATATTATTCTAAGTTTATTTCTCTGTTACTTTGTTTTCTTTAGTTTTATTTTATTTAGTTTCATTAGGACAATTTAATAATTTTGGAACGATAAATAATTAGTAATTAATAATAATAATAATAATTAATAATTATTAATTATTAATAAATAACAAATTTTATATTTAATAAGAATTTTGATATATTTGTTTGTTTTAATTATTAAAAGTATTTGTTTTTTTTATAATAATATAATGCATACATAATATTTATTTTCTTCCTTTTATTTCGATTTATTTAGAGGGAGTTTTGAGAAACTATTATTTCGTTAAAAGATATTATTTTTATACATTGACAATTAAAAAATTTATAATAATTATACTATTGTTGAAATATAATATTAATTACTAATTATTATAATTTTTTTTAATTTATATATATATATATATATATTTAATATTATAATATGTGCAAAATGTAATAGTTGTTAATATTGATGTTATACTTTGACAGCCTAAATGCCTCTTACAGAATAAGAGAAGTGAGACATGTGCATTGTGCATTCACATAGGATGTGAAATGTTTGTAATACAATGTTTTGAAATATTGTAGAAACAAATTGGTTTGAAAATTTGATCGAGATTAAATTCTAGAAGTCATATATTCAATTACTTGTTTGAAACAATCAATTATTAGCCGATTAAAAATATGATTTTAGTTTCTACTCCTATTTTGTGTTCATTTGATTAACGATTAATTATTTCATAAAATAATTAACGAAAAATGTACACAATTTCCCTAAGTAAATAAGCAAGGTTTTCAATTTCCATGCAATGTATGTATATTTAAAAATTTAAGTGAAATTTATAGAGGAGAGCTAACCAAATGACATGGCGTCTCCAATCCTAAATCAAACAATAAAAATAGTTAAATTAGCTAATTTTAGTTAATATTTAATAATGTCACATTTAAATTTTATTTTAAAGCTCTTTGAATTATTTCATTCAGGTAGTAATTTTACATAAAAACATTACATTTTAGAATTTTTTTTCATCAATAAATGTGGCTTGTATTATTAATAAATAATAAATGTATTCGGTGCATGTAGCTCAAATATGTATTTCATTAATAGATTTTACAAATATATAAAAGAAAATGAGTAATTAATATATTTTGAGTATAAATTAATTATTAATTATTGATTTTTATATATTATATGAATCATGTAGATTATAAAAAAAAAAAAAATAAATAAAGTGACTTTATTATTATTATTATTTTTTTATAATTAGTACTAAAGAATATATCTTATATTCTTATGTACATTTTTCTACAAAATGATTGTAATTTAAGATTTCTATATACAAAAGAAATAAGAATAATGAGTATATCATTTTTTATCCGAGTAACCGATACTGAGGGAATAAAATAGGAGTAAATTGACATCGACGGTAGAAGATGAAATGGAGTACACACTATCCGGAGCGGGACTTTTCTTTCTTTTTAAGGTATGTAACTAGATATTAATCCATACGTTACGAGTATATGAATAAATATATATGTTATAATCTAAAAATATTAGAAATATTTAAAATTAAAAATAAATATTATAAATATTAATAATAATCATTGATTAAAAAATGAAGGTGAATATTATAATTAATAATTGTGCATGTACTTTATTTTAGTACACCCCTTCACTTTTAGATGAGCTAAATCTCTTTTATTATACTTTTTTCTACTTTAGAATACTTATGTTATTTTATTAATATAATTCTTTGACTAAATTATATTTTTGGTAATTTATCTTAGTTTTTAGATTTATTTTGTTCTTTTATTTGTTAACATGAATTTCATGTTGATCATTTATCTTTTATATTTTAATTGATTTGGTCCTTTCAAAATAATAATTTAAAATTGTGTTTCAAAAGTGAAAATAATTATTATTTCAAAACAATAAAATCGACTCAAAATTAAGAGATAAATAATAAAATAAATATTTTAAAAGATATGAAACTAAATAAGTTTTAGAAATAAGATAAATTACTAAAAATATAATTAATTTGATCTAATTTTTTATGTTTTTTCATTCATTCATTTTTTTTATCTTCTATCAAATAATTAATTAATCATTTTATTTTATTGTATTTTTTATCTTTTATATTTCTTTTCCATACCAAACACTTAAAAGGTTGAAAGAATATTTTAGAAGTAAAAGTAGAGAGAAAGTGATGGAACTTTTGCTTCCAAAATGCTCTCTTTAGGTTTAAATTAATATATTATTTTGTTGTATTAATAGAGACCATGAGAAGATCACATAAAAATAACAAAGATTTTGGAAAAAAAAAATATATAATCAATTATTTTAACTGGTTATATATTTTATATTAAATTATATTTTTGGTTTTGTATCTTATTTTTTAAATTTATTTTGTTTTTTTATGTGTTTTTATCTCTTAAATTTAAGAATCATTTATTTGTGTCATTAATTCCACTTTTATAAAAACTGTTGATGCAATTGGAGTTCAAATAAAAAATGTTTTAAATATGCTGAAACTCACATATAAATTAGTCCAAAAAGTTAACAATAATTTAATTTTATATTATTTTCTAATTGTTCGTGAAATATATTTTTCATAAGATTTTTACTATGTTTATAACTCTTTTGTATTCAAATATTATAAAATTTCATACATATTATTGAATTTAATATTACAATTTTCATGTATTAAACTAATCAAAAATTGATTCAATATCGTGTTGCAAAATTGAAAATGATCTTAAAGTAAAAGTAACATTTTAAGAGATTAAAAAAATCAAAATAATTCTAAAAAAAATAAAATAAAATATAATTACACATAACTTGCTTCTAATATTCTATTTACGTATAACTATTATAAATTCAAAGTGTTTGGCTCCTCCTAAATTTTTTAATTTTTTTTATCTTTATAAAAAAAAATTGACGATTTTGCAACCAATGGATCGCAATCGTTCTATCAATTATTCTGGTTTTTCATTTAATACGTATACTTGGCAGATATATTTCAACTGATGAAACATCTACATAGGATCTGTTGAGCTTCATCATTCGATCATTCTAATCAATTATTCTCTGGTTTTGAGAAAAAGTGAGCCTACTTATTTATACTACTAGACTCCAAATTTCTACTATTTGAGTTTGAGAGTTCAAACTTCAAACACTTTCTTCACTGAAACTTATTAAGAGGGTGATGTATCCTTCAAGAATGGAAAGGTTGAGTATGTTTGAGACTTCCATGACTTTGAGTTGTGCTCCAAAATTATTAAGTGTACGAAGCACTTATTGAAGCTTGAGATTTTCAGTAAAAAATCTCAAGTACACCAATCTGAGATGGACGCAGCGACACGTGTTTACTCAACTAATATGAATTGCTATTTGCACTTCTCTTCACTTGTCTCTATTTTTATTTTTCCTTTTTCAGAACCTCAATTTATGTAGTCATTTTCTGTGGTTTCATCTGTCCATTCATTTCAAAATGTTAACACCTTCAATAAAAATTCTCTCAAATAGTAAAAGAAAGGATTTTTCAAGTTTCAACGGCAATGCATGCTCTAATGGTTGCTTAATTACCTTGCTGCATGGTTAAGGATGGATAGTGGTCATGTACTCTTCCAATAACCTTTGCTGGTACACCAGCCACAATGCTTTAACAGAAGAAACATTCCCTTTATTACAATACATATCTTGGTACAAGTTGCAAGTACTAGAAACATTGTTAAATAAAAACTTTGTTAAAAGTTAATTTACACTTACCTGTGAGGAGAGACCTCTTGTAACACAAGGGAGCCAGCAGCTATCATCACACATTCGCCAATTCTTATATTCCCAAGTATAGATGCATGAGCTCCAATTAGCACACCTTCAGCAACTTTGGGATGCCGATTACCTGTTTCCTTTCCTGTGCCACCCAAGGTTACACCCTGTCAAATCAAATATATCATTGAATTAGCATAGTTAGTATGAAAATTTATTGTATGATCAGGTACTACTGTGTATCTTTAATTCCATTCAATCTCCATGCAACATAAGAGTTTTATCAACTTTTTTTTTTCTTTCATAAATTAAGAACCTCAACAATGTGTCAAATGTAATAGATTGAAACCATATATTCATAGTGCTTAAAATGTTGGACCACCCAACAAGAATTAAATCTTTGATCATATGTTAAAGAATAAAATTATCTACTAATTATGTCATATTTTATTGATACTTAAAAATACTTTAAATCGTCACAAGATAATCTTTTAAAGATTTTCTCATAAAATTTTTAGGCGATTAATTTAATGATAACATATTTAAAGAATTACGGACATTTTACTCTATCAAATGGAGTTTGTTCTATTAGAAATTCTGACAAATGAATTTTTTGAAAGGATTTTTGAAGCATGTAATTTCTTGAGAGGAGGGCTAAAGCTTTCAAAAATTGTTCCAAGTATATAATTGTATTCATACATGCTTCACAGCAAAGGCCACCAAAAACTGAATTTGTAATTGAATTGAATTTGAGAAAAGAACTAGCCAAAGATAACCAAAGAAAACATAATGAAGAAAGATCACTCACTTGCATCAATGAAACCCTGTTTCCAATAGTAGCAGTTTCACCAATAACAACACCTGTCCCATGATCTACTAAAATTCCATCCCCAATTTTCGCAGCTATATAACAAACCATAAAAATGTAAAGTTTAATGATACAAGTGACCATAATGCTTTCAATATCTTGAATATAAGAGAGATGGGAACCTTAAAGAACATTGTCCCTTTAAATGTTAAAATGTCAAATCATTCTTACTAAAGTATTTCTATATTTGCATTCAAAGATTAACCTAACATACCGGGATGTATATCAACTCCAAAAACCTGCAGTAGAGAAAATAAGGGGTTGGATCATCAGCAAAAGAATTAATATGAAATACCCTTATGTAATATTTCTCCATTTTTTACCAACAGGCAAAGGCTACCTCACTAATTCGACTTTGCAAAGCTAAGGCCAAAATTTTACGTCCCTGGCCCCACAAAGCATGGGCTACTCGATATACTTGCAAAGACTGGAAACCCTGTCAGAGAATAAATCCCATGAACAAAGGAAAATGTTGGAGAAGATGCACAAATTATAGAAGAAAATGTATTGAATGTTCCATAAAAGCACCATGCTATTCAATCTAATGCTTCAGCATAATGAACAAATCAGTACCATTAGATGATGCAGAAATATTGACTAATACGGTAATACCACCCTCATGCTATAGTACTTGGGATTTAAAACAAACATTTATACTATAGGATTTAATCAAAACACATAATAACGCTAGTCAAGTGCATACTACTTGAAACTTGATGAAAAATAAGAAGGTTAAATTATATTTTGAATTTTCTATTTATTTTTATGATTTAATTTAATCTAACTATTTTTAAATAGTTTAATATTTAAAAATATACAATCAATGAACACGAAATTAAATTTTAAAAACAAACAGAGAAAAAATATATAATTTAACCAAAACGAAACTGCATATACCTTCATATATAAAAGTGCTGAGCAATATGACAAACATGCAGGATCCCGATCTTTAAATGCCTGGTGAGAAAATAGTACCAACATGAATTGAATTCGATCACTACAGAATCCAAATTCCATCATACACGAAATGAACATCATATACTAATCCTATATTTATACATCAATACATATTATACAGGGATACACATTTTGATAACTACATGTGATTTTTATTTTTATTTGAACCGTTATTTACTCTTTATTTATTTTCTACAACTCCTTAAAATCACTTTCATACTATCCTTTTTGCTTTTAAAATGAAATTATTTGTGAGTAATTATTTATAAAAATATTTTTTTTAATACAGTGTACTAATTTAAGTACGGAGTGTCTTTGTCTTACTACTAATAGTACAAAGAACATTAATTCACCTGGATATCCAATCGAATCGATTGCTGGATACCTTTATCTTGCTTCATGACATTAAAAAATGTATCCATCAACTGAGTTGCCAAAAGAGTAGGCTTTTGGAGACGGTTAGCAAGAGCAAAAGCCAATGCTTTCTCCAAGCAATTATGAGACAGAATAGAGGAATAGAAGAAGCTACTTAAAATTGGCTCCTTTTCTGCCTGTACACAAATACTGGTATATCATGATGCATATATATGAAACATATAAATGTTCCCACGACTGATCAAATATGCAATTAAGCAAAATCGATCGATAAGCATTTTCTTTTATGGACATAGTTCATCCATATCTTAAAGCATGGTTTTAAATTGCGGACCACAACACGTGTTGCGGCCGCAATATTGTTGTTGCGGCCTTGTCCGCAACGGCATCGGACCGCAATTGCGATGATACTGGAAATCACACATTTTTCCGCAACGTAAACGGTGTTGCGTCCGCAACACATCTGCAATGTACCGCAATACATCCGCAATACGATAAATTGATACTATAATTTTAAAATAAATTAAATTATTCATTAAAATAATAGAATATTTTAAAAAAAGGAATTAAAATGTATAAATCCTTAAAAATAAAATATATATTGATAATTATAAATTTTTTATATTTAGTGAAAATAATTAATAATCTCACACCGCAACAACCGCAATCCGCATCGCAATACCCGCAATACCCGCAACCACAGTAACTGTAACCGCGACCGCAACCGCGACCGCAACCGCAATTTAAAACCATGTCTTAAAGTTAACAATGAAAGACTAATTTATATATTTATAAACTATAATTTTTACTATTAAACATTATTTTAACATTATGAGAGGAATAAACATCTAAATGCATATTTTATCAAATGATTAATAAAGTATACACTCTGTAAATAAGAACAAAACAAACAATTCATGAACTTCTCAATAATCCACACCAATTCTCAGTATCCAATATGCACACAAACAATAAATTTTTGACTAATAAGTCGTTGGTCTGACTGGAACTTGATTCAATTTTCTTAAAAAAAAAAAAAGTCTCCAATTAATTCAAGTATTGTAAATGAAAAAATGTGATTATAATTTTTTTTATTAAAGATGTGACCAGTTAGGTTTTCCAGGATTATTAGTCACGGATAAAGTTGATTTTGCCAAAAATTAAATCTTCCGAATTATTATTCATGATATGAGATTTATCTTAACAAGTTCCATCAATGTTCTTTATTTTCCTTTTCTCCTTTTCACATCTAAATCATACAATCAAACTCTTGGCTCGTGGTTTCAGTTATGTGTCGAAAGTCCAAACTACTCTAACTAATTTTTTATCATATTTTTCTCAATCATTTCACACCACTGTGTCTTCATATAGAATCATTATATTAATTGTTCTGTGTTGTCACACATCTATTCTCATTGTTTCCATTTCCCACTAATGCCACCAAAGTGTTGCGCATACGGTCCCCACACATACCTCCTTGCATAGGATAGTTTTATGCTATCTAGCATTTGGTTTTCATAAATAGAAGGGTAGCCAAGTTGGGTTTTATTTTCTATATATATGTAACTAGCAATTTGCAAGGGAAGTCAACTTTTGAAGGAGAGGATAGAACTATATCATCATATCTCAATCATAGATTTGTAAGAGCAAGTACCCCTTTATCTTCTTTTATTAATAAAATTTCTTTGTTGTTAAAAGAAAAACACATGTCTCCATATTAGTATAGAAATTGTCCACTTTAGGCATAAGTTTTCATAATTTTACCTTTTAACCAATGAAGACATGTGTGCATATAAACTCATGCCCTCTCCTCAAACAAAGAACCATGATTTATCCCTATAGATTATTTCACGGGTATATTTGATGGTGGTCTCATAGAACATAGTCACGCTTTAAGTGTTTGCACCATTATTCCATTGTTAACTTACGATAGTAGAACACATATCCTAACCCTTCATATTATTAAGAAAACTCTTGATACACATATCTTAACCCTCCCTATTATCGAGAAAACTCTTGATCATGAAATCCTATACTTGGATCTACTTGCTATCATACTGATCGAGTTGGTGATCAATTGATCATAATATCAGTTTTGATATTACTTGTTGTGCACGAGGAGTTCTCACACATACATATTTTTACATTGGTAAGATAATGTACACTTTATACTTAAGTACTTATGATTTTGTTTTTAGTACCCATCATTTAAAAGGTCTCTAACCAATGGAGACAAATATATATATATTCATCTTTATGTTTGAATGATGTGAGTCTTTGATTATATCCTAACATAAAGGTGACGGAACATAATGCATAAAAGAGCAAAGAAAGAAAAAAATTACACTTTGATGTGTACCTCTAACTTAGCTTCTTTTCTGATAGCGTCCCAGATAGGATCAAGACATTCCGAATTGTGAAGTGAAGAATCCAACGCAGGGTTGGGAATTCCCATGGCATAAACGGGGAAAGCTTTCTCCAAACGATGAGGCCAAGAAGAAAAGGAACCAAGAATATTGGATTGGCCTTCCTCAGCTTCATGTTCAGACATAAGTGAAACCAAGGTCTTGTGGCTCAGATGAGCCATAGTTATAGAAGAGATAAGAGAAAAATGGAAGTGGTGTGGTTTTAGTTGAGTACAGCTTGGTGTGTGTGCTATCTATTGAGCCGTTATAATTATAGTTGTAATAGTGGTGTTGTGTTTGCTATCAGAAACAAAGTGCAACAATTATTTATAATGAACGATGGAAAGGGTGGGAAGATTGAAAGTGAACATGCAACCAGAAGTGCCATTTTCAATGGTCCAGGATATGCCACAGCTTGTCCTTATTTCGTGTTTTAACTTTTAACCCCTTTCCAATTTCGATTCACGAATTCAAAAAGGTAGGCTGTGGAGTTAGATTACCTCTTGTTCTTGTTCATGCATAACTTTCTGATTTTATATTTTTTTATTATTTGTCACGTATCATCAGTGGAATCGTATTTTATGAAGTAAAGAACATTGGTAAGAACGGCACTATAGTGAAAGTGGGATTTGAGTTTAAAATCAATCGGTGCCACTTTATTTTTTTTAATACGTAAAATTTGAATAGGAATAATTTAATATTGATATTAACCTGTATAAATTGTAGTGTCACATTGAATATGATCATTTAGTCTTTATGCAGAAATAATTGCTCCCTTATATATATATATATA